GGGAGCGTGGCTGTGGTTGAAATGGAGACCAGCACTCCTACAACTTACCTAGGGGAGTATCAAAGGCCCAGGCTTGAGCTTCAGAGGCACCCATGGCCCATGGGCAGGGTCCAGGTGAGGCTGGGCAGGTCCCTCAAGGCCTGTTAGCRCCCTCAGGGCTGTGACACCCTCCACCAATGGTGCTGAGGAAGCTTCTCCCACCAAACAGGCGATGTGCGTTCGCTTCCTCTCCAAGGCCTAGGAGTGCAAGAAGGGTTCAAGAGTGTGAGCAGGCGGAAACTGTGCAGGGGAATCCAGGAATCATCCCACCCCTCAGACATCTCCTCATGTAACATCTTCCCAACAGAGGAATGAATTGTCCAGGCATCAGCCAAGGCTTCCCTGTACCTCAGACCTGCAGTTTACTAACTGCCGGCTAAGCTAATGCTCAGATATATATATATATATATATTACTGGCAATACTCACTGGATAATTAAATCACTGCTATCTACTTTACTAGGCACAAAGTTTTTTATTTTCCACTATTAAAAATTAAAAGCTACAAGACAAGGTGCAGAAAAGGAGCAAGGAGAAAAAAGAGGTGAGTCTCTTATCCATGGCAACTGCTTCCCATGGGAACTCACCATAACCATGTTCTTGGGGCTTGCACATGCAAGGCAATGAGGAAAACAACCTAAGCACAGCATGAAACCACGAGGGTGAGGATRCTGCTACGGAGGCTTTGGAAAAACCTTTCCCCAAAGACTAGATGAGTGGTTGCAGAGACCCCGGAGCCCCTGGGGACCCTCGCTCCACAAAATCCCCTCCGCACACAAACATCCCAGCAGCAGGCAATAGAAAGTGCATCCTTGTCTTCCATGCATTTCTATGTCAGGGCAACACGGGCTCCTGAGAAGGTCCAGGTCCTCCTAAGGAGGAAAAAGAAAACAAATGGGGAAAAAAAACCCTCTAAAGCTCCAGGCAGATTGAACCACTGCGGACTCGTGCACAGGGCTGCTCGCAGAGCTGCCCTCACTCGCTCCTCGCACGGCTGGGGCTCTCCTTCCCTGCTCCGCACTGGGCCATTCCCTTCTCTGCGTCTCCCTCTCTTGGCAGAGCTACAAATTTCCACTCTCCATCCCGTCCCAGCCCTGAGAAATATCCACCTGCCTCCAGCCACCACCTGGCATGTTCCCTCTGCCTCTGGAAGACTGGTAGGAAGGTAGGGAGGAAAGCGGGACACGCTCCCAGATCCTGTGACAAATGGCACACAGGCACAGGGGCCAGGCAGCACCATGCGCGGAGGGGATCCCCACTCCCTTCCCTGCTCTCAATTTTGGGGCTTCTGGAGCACCCCATCCTATGGTAGCCCTACTGTGGGTCTGTTCAGACCATGGTTCCCAGCTAGCCCAGAGGGACCCACTGCTCTGATCCAAGCTGTCCCACCATGCTGGCCTTGGACTGGTCACTCTTAGACTGGGCTGGATGGCAGAATGGGACATGGTATTTTCAGCCGAAAGGATGTTCCACACCTGCAGTTCTCAAAGGACTAATCCAATTTAATGCAAAGATTCAACCCACTGAAGTTCACACTGGCTGTGAGGCCAGCACAAAGGTGAGCCACTTCCAGAACCAGCTCCAGAGCGAGCTCTGGGAAGGGAAGTGAGGCCAAGTGAACAGCTTTGCTGGCACCTATAGCAGCTTCCCACCCTGATCCTCTTGCCCTGGAGACCCTGTGCCATCTGTGCTCCATGAGGACCTTCCAGACCTTGATGTTAGCAGCACCTTGATGTTAACATTGTGTGTAGCCAGTCATGATGTCCATGGACCTTCCACCAGGTTCTGTGACCCCCATCAGATGACTCACATTTGACTCAGATAATGTGTCTAACACACAGGGTTTGAGATGGTGTCAGCAGACATGGACAGACCTCTCCCCTCCATCTGATTTCCCAAGGAAGGGAGGATGCTCAACACCCCTATTTTTCTTCTGAGGAGGTGGGATGGGTGTGCTGAAATCTGGCCATCAGCTCCAAAAACCACCTCCAGTGCCCACATTCAAGCTCCAGTGCTGCAAATGCCCTACGGGCTCTTTGTCCTGGAAGGGGCCAGCGAGCGGGGAGATCAGAGCAGACCCGCGAAGTTCCTAGTTCCTCACTCCATCCGTAGGGAGCGAGGTCTGCAGTGCCTGTCCGCAGACACGGGGACTCTGCCGTCTGGGCATCGCCGGGACGGSAGGGACAGTCCGGATCCCTTCGCCYGCCACCCCCAGGGCCCTCCCCAAAGAGCAGGGGCTCAGACCATGGCCACTTGGGCTGTCCTTGCTGCTGTGTTCACTGCAGCCTCTGTCCATCAGCCAGGGCACTGTCTGAGGGGCTGGAGGAGAAAACAGGGGCTCTGTTCTCACTTCAATGGCTCCTTTATGAGCAGGGAGAGCCGGAGCTGCGGCCACTTGCCTTGGGTCTCCCGCCACCTAGTGTTACTCYGGCAATGGGAAGCTCCTCGCTTCCCAGGGAGATGCTCCATGCCTGGGGCCGCGCAAGCGGGACAGGCTGCAGGAGACCCCCCTTATTTCCCCTCACACCCAGGCTTGCACGTGGCCTGCAGACCTCTCAGCTTCACAAGCAAGATCACTGTACAATGTCTTGCAGGGATTTTTACCCACTCTGATTATATTTCACCGAWAAACATAAGCATGGATGTGGCTTCAGACAGCACAAATAGCCCCAACAGTTGCCAGTGGGGTGCTCACCAATGTGTGCAGCTCAAACGTGCTCAGACTTTGCACAACTGGGGACTGGGAATGCTTCGGAATGATCACAAACACGGATTAAGTCAAATCGTGTCCCAAATTGGTGAGCTGGGAGCAGAATAGCCAAAAGGAGAGAGCAAAGACAGCTGGGGATTGCGAGGCATCAAAAATGTAGTCCCAAGTTTGGAACAAAAAGACTAACTTCTGCAGGATAACGTTGGGGTGGGCAAAAGCTTAGGAGAGTGTGAAGTTACTGGAGTGGTAGTTCTTGTGCTCTTTAGATTTCTGCATTCATCTGCCTCATTTCCCATGSGCGTTCTTTGTGTTCTCTGTGACCTGGGAGCTCTCCTGCCTTCACAAGATATTAAAAATATTACCRGTTGGTAGGCACATAGATAGTGCAAAGGGTTTTTTTCCTGAGGATTTTAGCACTGCCTATAGTTACAGAACAACAGTCCCCTCTTCCAGCCAAGTTTGTTTGTCTGCTSATGTATTCCAGTTCCCAGATAATTAGGATCTGGAATAAGGCCATCGTAGTTCTGGCTGTGACTTCCAGTGTGTGGAAGATGCTGCTACAGGTGACATTGCCAAGAAGCACTGGACTGACGCACTGGGATAGAGTAAATCCTGCGATGTGGGGACACACGCAAAGCTGTGCAGGTGCTGAGCAGCTCTGCACCGCAGAAGAAATGGGCCGTATGATGTACCAGATGTTTTGGACTCACTGTGCATGGGCTTTGCAGGCTCTGCAGGACTTTGCAGCACTTAGTCAGATGTACAGGAATTCTGGATGAAAGGCCTGGGTGAAATTCCCCTGAGGAAAATAAAAGGCTTGTTTTAAAAGATAAATACCTGAGTTGCAGTTTTGTGGGAGCACAGGGATGATGGGGCACAGCCCAGTTCCCACACCACAGATGGGGAGGCACCCACAAAGCTGTAAGCTGCACCCTTACAATGYATCTCTGAAGCAGATGCTAAGGGGATCCGCAGCTCCAGCAAAGGCCTTTCTGAAGCAAGGACCAAGACTTTGTATTTTATGATGATCTCTGGAGGTCCCTTCCAACCTCAGCCATTCTGTGATTCTGTGATTCTTCAGGCTTTCTGTGACAGCGGAGGCATTTAGCTCCATCGTCTCCTTGCCAGCCTGAAGAGCTGTCTGCTCAGTGATTCCTCAGACCTCCAGCTTTTCCCTGCTGCCCTCCTCTCAACAGGTCTGCAGCAGTAATTCCCAACGTGAGATTTGGGGCTGCTAGTGAAGAATGACCTCGTGTGTTTATGAATATATTTAATAGGGGACGGCAGCCTCCYGTGGCAATGTTCCCCCCGGCCCGTCATTTGTGTCCCTGTGCAGATTTGTTACTTAGGGTGCCTGCTGGGGATGTGATACACGGAGCTGCAGCTCTCAGGGCTTTCCCTAAACCTCTCTGAAAAATGGCAATTTTTTAAGACTTGTGGTTGAATGCCGTCTGGTCTAATGAATCAATTACTCAGGGTTCAGCCAGGTGCTTGTTCTGCTGCTTCCTCTACTGAACAATTCAACACAAACACGCAGCTTGGCGCTGCAAAATCACCCAGGGAGCAGGAGGGGCAGCCCGAGCAAGAAGGGCTGTTTAGCCAGGCAGGGCTATAATCCCAAGCAAAGTTTTAAGCAGCAAGGGCTCAGCGCGGGCCCGGGAGCCACGCGAACGTCTGGCCACGAGATGGGGCTCGGCCGAGGCGCTAGGAGCCCAACCCAGAACCTCGTGGACACGTCCAGGCTGCTCGGAGCAGCCGGCCGGGCCCAGGGCGCCGCTCCCGCCGCCCCGGGGCGCCTCCAGGCCGCTGCTGCCCCGGTGCCGCCCGGGCCCTGGCGRAGCGCGGGGGAAAGGGCCAATTCCCGGTTAGCTGGACACCCTCCGCGCCAGCTCGCTCGCCCTGGGGGGCTCCATTTGGTAAATGGGGCCTCGTTCCCAAGGCATCAAGGGCGGTTTCCTGCGGCTACACCCGAAGGGCCGCGGCTCCCACACAGCCCTTCCCGGGGCCGCTCAGCCCACACGGCCCCCGGGCGCGGAGATGGCGCCCAGCCCGCCGGGGGGGGCGGGAGGGGGGGGGAAACCGGCCGCGCGGGGGGTGCCGGGAGCTGTAGTTCGCAGCGCGCCCAGGTGCGGCGGCGCCGCGGAGGCCGCCGGGGGCGGCGGGGGCGTAGCGAAGATGGCGGCGGGGGCGCTGCGCCCCGCTCCGGGCTGAGGCGCGGCGCGCGCTCCCTGCGCCTCAGTGCGGCGGCGGCGATGTCGGAGCCGGAGCACCTGGGCGGCAAGCGGGCCGAGTCGGCGCGGCTGCGGCGGGCCGAGCAGCTGCGGCGCTGGAAGGGCTCCCTCACGGAGCAGGAGCCCGTGGCGGCGGCGGGCGGCCGCGGGCGGCACCGCGGCGCCGGCGGCTCCCGCGTCCGCTTCGAGGAAGGCGCCGTCTTCCTGGCCGCCTGCTCCAGCGGCGACACGGAGGAGGTGAAGCGGCTGCTGGGCCGCGGCGCCCGCGTCAACACCACCAACGTGGACGGGCTGACGGCGCTGCACCAGGTAGCGGCCCCGGCGGCGGCGGGCGGACAAAGCGGCCGAGCGGCGGCCGGGCCTGCCCCGCTCCCGTTCCCGGGGAGCCGCCTCATCCCCGGGGCGACGTGCGGCGCTGCAGGCCGGGCGGCCGCGTTGCTGGGGTTTCATTCATTAATTGGCTTATTTTGAGAGGTTTCGCGCGCCTTTGTGTTTGGGGTCCGCTGGAACAGCAGCGGTGCTCGGAAAACTTCCCYGCCGAAGGAAGGTTGCGGCTTTGGGAAGGTCGCACGCGGCTCCGTCTGGTCCTGGTTTCTGTTATATCGGAGCTGCCTTGGAAATTCCCCGGGCTCCTTGCTGGCATCGCTGCGGAGGGCACGGAGTGCCAGCGCTCGAGATAAGCGGCGTGGGCTCTATTAATACACATCCAAATGGGCTAAAGATCATCCACAAGTAATCTTGGAAGTTTAGCTTTGGGATAGCCAAGGCTTGCCCATCTGGAGGAACATGTTGCATTTTAGCCCTTGTTTTTGCTATCGTTGGGTAAATTCGTGTGAATGTAAGGGAATATGTGAAACTGCAGCCCCTGGGTATTGGTCAGTGTGTTGATGCCCCGGAGGGCCGTGGAGTTGGGCAGGGCCCCTGAAATCAGCTCGATTGTCGCATCTGGTGCGGGAGACGGATCCGCTCCGAGCCAGGATCAGGACTCGAGATCACGCGGGCTAGGCACGGTGCTGGGGACGGGCCTGGGCCCAGCGACAGCAGCTGGAGTGATGTTGGTGTGTTGCRTTCACCATGGTGTGCTTGCTGTGTGGGTGAAGAATGATATTTCAGTAGCACAAATAGAAGGGTGGTAGTTGTGTTGACTAGGTTTTTGTGGCTTGGTTGGCATTACTGGACTGAATGTTTGGGACACTGAAAATCGTGATTTGTTAGGTCATATCCTCGTGAYGGTCGGTGCACAAAGAGCAGTGGTACCTTTCCGTTCAGTTCCGTGGTTCTGAAACTCCGTTGTGAATCTGTGACGTGGGCTGCTGGGTTGAGTCAAACTTGGTGGACAAAGTAGGGAAGTTTGTAACGGCTCGTGATCGACACAGAAATAATCAGTCACCTAGGCACTCACAGGAGCCGGTTGTTGGAGAGGTAGATATCAGGAGTATTTTGATAAGGAAAGAAACCTGAATCCAGGGTGGATGGAGATGTAGTAGAGTTGGAATGACTCCATTCAACTCTACTCAACCTGGAGTGTGTTCCAGCTCTTGGGGCAGGGTTGATTGCAATCTCTTCAGTGTTGGTGTATCGTGCTGATGCATCAGCGCAAAGCTTGGCCGAAAGGGGATCATGAGGCTCATTAGATTCATTAGGCTCTGATCAATGGATGGTTATCACAGCAAGGTCAAACTTCTTGAGGCTATGGCAAGCCATGGTTGGCCACAAGTCTAATCCTGTATATGGAAAGGATTGTGTTTTAGAAGCTAACGAAGTACCAGGTAACATAGCTAACAGTATCAATTAGGGATTGATGCTTTGAAAAGCAGGTGGATGAGCAAGTACTCGAGCAGATGCTAAAGAAATGAGTCTTCTGTTTGAATTGCTTCAGAAGCTCTGCAGGGTGCGAAGTTCATCTTACTCACTTGGTTGGAGAGGTTCCTCATCACTGAACGTGTTGCTCTGGATATATTTGCTTTCATTTTATTTGGGAAAAGATACTGGCTATGGAAGAGCCATCAGGTGGGGTCAAGTAAATTGAGGGTCCCCAAACTGCTGGCTGACAAATGAATTAAATATACTACACACCTTTTTTGTTTAAACAACTTCTATTAGCATTAGAAATGCAACACTTTGAGACACGGAGCAGATGGTAGTGACTGTCTCCTGTCATTAGCCTGTAATACTTGGGAAACGACATGGCGATGGGGAACAAGATCCTGCGTATATTTGGGAGGCTGTATTTTGAAAATGACCTTTCAAATTACAAGGCCATTTCTGAGCCTCCAGCCTGTGGTGGCTGCCCTCTCTGGAAGTGCCAGATACAGCATTAAACCTAGACCGAAGACCAGCGTCAGCGTTTGTTATATTTGTTGGGGCTTCAGTTCTGTTTGCATTTCTACCTCAGAGAATGCAGAATACTTCTGGATTAGCACCAATCCCTGAAGTTTTGCACAGAATGACTCCTAAAGAAAAGATCTGTTTGGGAAGGCTTCTCAATGAAAAAAGCGCCACGATCTTGTCTCTAAGGACTCTCTTACAAATGGTAACAGCAGAAAGGACCATTTATCCTTCGTCTGCTCTTGCATGGTTTCCCATCTGTTTCTCTTTTGCCCCTTCAATAGAGGACTGAGTTGCTCATAAAATAACTCCTGAAGTTCTACTTTTAAAGCTGTCTGGCTCTTAGGTTTGCTTTACCTTAAGGTGCTGGACGACTGTGGTTGTGGAGCGGTCTCCGACTGGGTAGTTGAGGCTGTGACCTCTCTGGCAGTGCCAGTTTGTTATTCCTGCTTCTGAGTCAGCGCTGGAAAACTGCAGGCACGTCTAGCTGCCCTTCAGAGTGGCATCTGTGTCAAAATGAGGCTGCTCGGGCTTTCGTGGCCCTCCAGAAGCTTTGGCCCTTTGCTCCCTTTGTGGGGAAAAGTCCTAGGCAAGCGGAAGGCAACCGAGGCTTTTTGGAGAGCCCAAAAGCACAGTTAGGATAGTGCATGGAGGAGCCCTTTCCCCAGTCGCAGCAGTCAGGAGCCTCGCTGAGGCACTGGTGTTGGCCCCAAATCCGTGAGGCTGAGGAGCGGGAAGGGATGATTCCTGTGTTGCTGTTGGTTTATTGCTGGAGGTGCGAATTGGACATCTGGGCTAGGGAGCGTGGGGCCCGGCACTGCTAATTCTAAAGATCCATTTAAGAGCATCATCCATCAGAACTGCAGCGGTGCTGGGGCGGCCTGGGTTTGCTTTACAGGCTAACCAGGGTCAATGTGACGGCCGCCCAGGACAGTTACACAGCGGCAGTGTACAGGAGACCTCTTTTAATCACTGGAAGGTAAAAGCCAGTTTGTGCCTTGGAATATGAAGATATCAAAACACCACATATGGGAGAACTCRGGTGTCACGTATGCACATGGTTTTGGGGGTCACAGCTGCTTCTTAGAAGATCAGGAGCTGGTCTACCTCATTAAGTGGTGAGAAAACCATACACTAGGCATACTTTCTTAAGATAGAGTGGCTMTGTGGTCTAAAAATTTGTGAATTCTTAGAAACGAAGATTATCTAAGGGCAGTCGTACCTTTGCCACCATCCTCTGCAAGGTTTCTTTCCCAGGATGTGCAACTGCCAACATAAATAAAAGTTGCAAACTGTTCATGCTATATTTGATGCTTGTTGTCAAATTTGAAATCTGGCTATGTCAAAAATAGGTTTTATCACTAGGGTAGGTGACTTTTTTTTTTCCACTGATGAATGGTAGTACAGCAGTTATGTTCTCTAAATAGTGTGAGAGCTTTGAAGCTGCCTAAAATACTGCAGCAATTAGACAAAGATAACTACATTCTTAAGCACTATTTGACCAATATTAATGTTTTTATTATCTTGCTTTTGGCTATTTGGCTCCCCCTTTTTTTTTTTTGGCTTGCTGTTTTCTCCCAGTGCCTTATATCTTTCGTTCAAAACAGCCTCCCAAGTGGGTAGAACTAACTCTAGACTAAACAAGCCAACCTTGAGCTGGAGCAAGTTGGAGGCTTCCAGTCTTGCTGCTTAGCACGGCRCTCGGAGGGAATTTCCTTTCATTTAGGGTTTGTTGGTTGGGCAGTCTAGAAAGCGAAGCCAACGCAGCCCGTGCACAGCTACTGACTGCTGCGAGGAAACTTATTCTGGTTTCAGCTTCATCTTTTTTAGGATGTTTGTGATGGGAAACCCTCTCTCTGCCTCTGTTTGTCCTGTTTAGTGGTTAGATGGGTCCAGCTTCGCTGCTCTCCTAACCAGCGAGCGAGTGAAGCCGTAGGATTTCTGGCTACAGCCTCTTTAGTGGCAGCAAGTGGAACTGATGACCCCAGTGCTGTGGGAAAACTGTCACCTCGGCAGCCCTGTGACTGGACCATCCGGAGCTCTGTTCCCACTGGGGAAGCTCCTTGGGSATACAGTGGTATATTAGGGAAAGCTTTTATTTGATGTGTGCCAAAAGCTTCCCTACTTTTGCAAATGAAACGCACGTCTGCATCGRTGTGGCTCAATAAGAGTGGGCGAGGAAGGCAGCGCTGCGACCGGGCTGCTCTTGCATCTCCCCTTAGAGCGGCTGAAACCATCGAAACGTCAAAGGYGCCGTTAAAGGCACCGTTTCTGCCCAGAAGCGCTGCAGGGTGAGCGAGGTGACAGTGCCRCCAACCTGATGTTTGTGCTGCGGTTTCTGAAGGCTCTCACTGGGTGACTAGCGATGCTGGGGGTCGGCAGCCGTTCTTGCAAAAACTTTGGTTTCAGGAAAACTTTGGGTTCAGAATGGGTAGTAAGGGGGTTGCGAGACATCCGAGTGCTGCTTGTTGTCGTAGGCTGAAATAATAACTGATCAACATGAAAATATGGGACGGGAGTTGATGGGCTAGCCCTGAGCTGAGGGTTACGTTGCACATCTGAAAGACCTGTTATAGTGTGTGTATGGGAGCAGTCTTTTCAAGGAGGTTGGGGTGGGCTGTATTGGCTGTGATTTATATATTTTCTTCCTAACTCTTCTCAGTACAAATGAGGAGGAAGCCTGCAATGCTCTGAAATGTCTGGTGCCTTTTTCTCCGCAGCCTCTGCCTCGCGAGCTGAGCAGCGCTAGCGGGAGGAAGGTGTCCCGGCCAAATCCTGGGCTCGGAGCGTGCGGTTTATTTTCAGCTGTCCCTCGCAGGGGAGGTGCAGCAGCTGTCCCTGCCAGCTCCTTTCTTGGGCCACCGCAAACTGACCCGGGGATGAAAGGGGCGGCTTAGAGGAGGGGATGTGCAGTGTGCCTCGGGAGGAGCGTTTCAGTTTATAAGGACAAAGGGGAAAGTGTTTGGGGTGGGGGATTTAGG